AAAAGGAGAACAAGGAGCGATTTTGAAGACAAATTCAACGGAAGAATGGAAAGTTCACTCTACCCAGCAAGAGTCCACGAGATCAGGAAATAAATCAGTAGAAAGTTCCAATTTTTACAGCAGAAACCTACTCGAACAAGCATGAAAACACGACCGGTGAATGATAGTGCATAAACCCGCAAAACCCTGAGCATCAAAGTCCCATCTTTGTCCCTGGGTATTACATCAGAAACAAAAAACAAGAAGAAAGAAGGACAGCATCAGGATCAGACCACAGCTCACTGTACAAAGTGAAGAGGAACCAATAGTAAGCTAAAGAATTTTACAAACCAAACGCTATTACACAAAAGAAAAAAGAAAAAGGCCCAAGCACTAAATAGAGAAGAAAAAAAAGGCAAAACCCTGAGGTGATCTCGATCCAGCAAGAGATTTTCAACCCGACTCTCCCCAAAACTCCTCCTTTATCCCGCTAATTTCCCGTAAAATTCAAGAATTTACCACCAGTTTCCGAGAAAAGACTCAGGCAATGCGGAAATGTCGAGGAACCCAGGAAGGAAGCCAGCCAGGTGCTTTATCAGAGAAAAACAAGAAAACAAGAAAAATTTAAAACCCTGATGCCTTTTCAGACCACTTCCAAAGCCTCACCAACCCCCCTCGAGCTGAGAACGAAAAGGCCTCAAATCGTGCCCTAATATTCACCCTCTCTCTCTCTCTCTCTCTCCCCAGTTGGAAATAGTAGTCACCTTTTTTAAGAGCAGGAAAAAAAAGAAGGAAAAGACAGGTAAAGAATGCCGAAATTGCTTTCGTACGATTCATTATTTTAAAACAAGCGGATTGTTTAAATTCCGATCAAGTCAGAAAACCACAGCATCCACTCCTCTCCATCGGGTTTATAGATTCTAATCCATGGATGACCGTGTTCTTTTCAAGCTTTGCAACTGTTGACCAGATCTACGTACACATACACGCCCACCATTCAACGTTTCGTAGTCATCACATCATATGCAACCGTTCACACCAGTGCAATAAACCTCCTCAACCACCCTCCGCCAAGCCGCCTCCTCCTCCTCTCTTTTTCTCTCTCTCTCTCTCTCTCTCTATATATATATATATATATATATATATATATAGTAATTGCTCGAAGATCTGGTCTAAAACGTTTGCGTGTGTTGAATAGAAAATCAAAATATAAATAAATAATTATGTTTAAATTTCGTCCTCGCCACTTGTAGGATGGCATTTTCGAGTTTTATTTGTTGAATTGACATCTACTTGGTTTATCGTCCACTACGTGGAATCAAAATTGCATTGTAAGGTTCAGAGACTTGGGATGATTAGTTGTGGTGGACTACTAAATGGATTCGTAGTGGAATTTCTTTCTTTTACTCTAAACCAAGTTCGCAATAAACAATTCAAAACCCATTACGTCTTAGCTTCTTCTCTCTCTCTCTCTCTCTCTCTCTCTCTCTCTCAATTTAAAATTTGTGAGTATATACAGAGACAAAATAGAGCAGTTGATTTTGCAGGCCAATATTTGTCAGATGTATTAATAATAATACTGTGCAGATGTGACAGGGTAGATTATTTGTATAATTATGAGCTCCGACACGAGAATAGCATTTGTCCTGAAAAATAAATTAGGTTTCGACGATCATATTCATGACTAGTGAATTCGGACCAGCTTATAATTCTGGAAGGAAGAACTAAAAAACAAAAAAACCAGTTGTTTATTAATAGATTTAATGTTCGTGAATCTTTACTGTGCCAAATGCATGAAGGTGCTGAGGTGCTTTAGTTCTTCGGCCTTATTTTTCCTCGGATTGTTAGGTGGAAATCCAACCCAACATCCCATGAATTTTTCTGACCAAAGCAAAGATGGATTACGCCTCAACATACTTTTTCTTTTGATCCAGCAGCAACCATAAAGTATTGATGATGTCACTCTCTGCAGAATCCGATGGATTAAATCCGAAGAATACATTTGTGGGGTTAGAGTGCATATCATTATAATCCCCGATGGATTTGGTAGCCTATTGGACCATATATATATATATACACACATTATAAATAGCTTCTCCGACTGACTTCCTTTCTACGCGAGAGAGTATACTAATGCACCGAAGCTTATCCAGCAAATAATTAAAGGGAAAGCCACTTGTTCTTTATGGGAAACAACTCCATCTTTTTCTTCCCGAAAAATATATATATATAAGGAAGATAAGAAAAGCCTAATTTCCGCAGTAGAATCTGACCATCTTAGGGAGCCAAGAAAAGGACGCAAGCTGATTACCCACGAGTCCTTGAAACGGGTTGTTGATTTAGCAAGGCAAGCCTTAGTATTGACGCGGGGATACTTGAATATAATTTTCTGGGGAAAATTAGATGGGAAGCATCCCAAAAGAATGTGCAGCTGTGACCCACTCAGGTGGATGATGGAAACAGGAGGCGAAGAGAGAGTTGGTTTGAAAAAGAAAAAAAGTGATATATAAGGAGATTAGGAGGAAAAATAAATAAAAGACAAGTGAACTCCAACCACTCTCTATGTTCTTTATTTCCTCGTACAGCAGCAGCCATAGAGAGACCCACTATACTTCAAAGAGTGATGGTGGCCGGAGCTGAAGCACTATGGAGTTGAATGGTTGGCTAGGAGAAGGAACGGAGCTTTTCTGTCTTCTTTCTTTTTGGTTCCCAGCCATGGGAAGGGAAGCTCCGTGGATGTTGAGGCCGCCCGGAGCTTAGAGTGACTTGCACCTTTTTCCAAAAGCGGCTAAACCTTCTCTCGATCGAGATGTAATTGGGTCGACGGAGACGGTGGGGATCTGTCTATTTCCATGGATCACAACATGTGACCCAACTCGGTAGCTCGAACTCATACTCAGAGATAAACCTAATCCGTTTAAGAAGCGTAAATATTATTTTTTATGACTGTATTAATTTATGATTAATCAAAAGTGTGATGCAAAAGGTGAAACTGTAAAAACAGTTTGATCCATGATTATCCTACGTTGAATATGATATCCATGATTATTACACTTATATCATAACCTTAGTCATCGTCTTTTCTTGTGTATCTTTTTATTATCTTGTCATGTGAATTATCTTTTTATTATATTGTGTATATGATATCCATGTATATATACATGACAAGAGATATGTATGTATACATATATTTGTATACATATTGTGTATCTTTTGGTCATACACCTCTTTAAGTCCTATAATTTATTTGTATCTAAAATAATTTTTATATTTTAAAAAATATAGTATGTAAACCCCTTCCATCAAATTTGAGTTAACAGATATTAACATTCTGACTCGTAATATAATGACATATATAATTTAGGATTAAGGTTCATTTTAGCTCATGTGGTTTTGGTCATTGACTTCTTAAGTCCTTATGGTTTGTTCATATCTAAGATAACTCATACATTTTCAAAACATAACATACAAGTCCCTCTCGTCTAGTTTGAGTTAATAGACGTTAGAGTCTACTTACATGATATATTGACTCACAATAAATCATTAATATAATGACATATATATAATTTAAGTTAAAAAAATCTTAAACCTCCATTAATGGTGGGAGAAGGCATCGTCGTGAAAGTGACCACCACAAGCAACACTGAGCTGCTACTACATAGCAAGGTGTCGTACGTATGCAACCTCTCCCTCGTTGATAATAAGCTCATAAGCTTCCGGTCCTGCTTTAGGTGGACGTACGTCGACTAGTTCGACGTTAGGCACTCAGTGATCTCCTAGTCCCTCTTTCTCTTCATGGATGTATTTATCTTCATCGTCTCTCACTTCATCCTGTCCTACACCCCCACCCGTCGCGCCTACGACGTGGTGGTCTAGCTTTTCATCTTCGCCGCCTATCTCTCCTACCTCTATCTCTTTGCCTTTATTAGTCACAACAGCTTCCACCACCTCCTTTTCCTCAACAAGCTAGTCGAGGAGAGCGAGTAGGTGTGAGAGGGCTACATGGACTAGCTCAATCGCTCCTTCTGCTTACTCTTCATCTTTGTGATGTCGTGCTTCATGAGGGATGTGGCTTACAAGGTATGGTGGTACTTGTCGGAAATATGAGCAAGTGTAATTCGCGGTAGTAGGCAACGCCATGATGGGTGACAGGGTGCATGCGTCATTGAGTTAGTGAGTGATCTTCGGAAGCTCTTGAGCTCATCATTAGCGCGAGAGAGACTGTGTGCGTAAAATGCCCTACTAAGAAGCAGCGGCTCGGTGCTGCTGTTAGTGGTCGCTTCCACGATGATATCTCCTCTTACCATTGATGGATGTCTTATTAAAAAAAAACTTAAATTACACGTGATATTATATTAATAATTTATTATGAGTCAACATTCCACGTAAGTAAATTCTAACTTCTGTTAACTCAAATTTGATATAAGGGACTTATATGTTATATTTTTAGAATACAAGGGTTATTTTAGTTATGTGTAAACCATAAAAACTTAAAAGGTCTATGATCAAAATCATATGAGCTAAAATATACCTTAATTCTAAATTATATGTATTATTATATAAATAATTTCTTGTGAGTCAATACAGAGTCTAACGTCTGTTACGAGTAAATCAGATATCATAAAGACTTATGATATCAAATTTATATGTTATATTTTTAAAAATATAAAAAATATTTTAAATATAAGTAAATCATAAAGACTTAAAAGATCTACGATCAAAATCAAAAAGATTAAAATAGATACGAGTAAATCAGAAGAGTTTAAAAGATTTAATTTAAAATAATTAATATAAATTTTAATCATATATATATATATATATATATATATATATATGTGTGTGTGTGTGTGTGTGTTTGTGTGTGGAGAGACACAGGTGTGGGGTCCGGTGACTTGAGCGGATACATCATACGTGGAACGGCACACAAGCCGGGACTCGGTGGTGAAGGGTGATCTCAGCCATCCCCATCCCCGCACCGCCATGTGTGTGTGTGTGGAGAGACACAAGTGTGGGGTCCGGTGATTTGAGCGGATACATCATACGTGGAACGGCACACAAGCCGGGACTCGGTGGTGAATGGTGATCTCAGCCGTCCCCATCCCCGCACCGCCATTGCAGGGTTGGGATGCTGTTTGAAATTCGAATTTCCAGTGTTCTCTTGGCCGTTGGACACACGGCCGATACCCCAGCCACAGACCATCGGTGTAATATGTGTATATATCGCCGCTTTCCCTTCTCTAACGGAAGGAAGAAGATCCCTATTGTCTTTTCTTTCGATTCAGCGAAGAGAGAAGAATGGTGACAGCGACGATCCAGCAGCCACAGCAGAGCCGGGCGATGGATGCGTTCGAGAAGCTGGAGAAGGTCGGCGAAGGAACGTACGGGAAGGTGTACAAGGCTAGGGAGAAGGCCACCGGCAAGATCGTCGCCCTCAAGAAGACCCGCCTCCCCGAGGACGACGAGGGCGTCCCCCCCACTACCCTCCGCGAGGTCTCCCTCCTCCGCATGCTGTCCGTCGATCCCCACATCGTCAGGTGACGACTATAGGACGACACTAGTTATTTCTTCGTTTCCGGATAGGGGATTCTCCGCCTTTCTTCGTTTCATGATTAAAAATCGGCGTTCCTTCTCTGCTTATGCTTGTTTTTAATTCTTATTCCCGGGTGTGGTACAAACTACTATATACGCCTCCTCGTACCGATATGATCAAGATCCCTCCCTCCCCTCTGTAAATAATGGATGTTTGGCTCATGTTCCGTGACTTTTCTTCCTTTCTTTTCTCTAGAATGCTCTCCGTCGATTCTTCCAGTTGTCGTTTCGGCAGCGCCTGTATTTTCATTCTCATGCCATTGGTCTCCCCCACAGAGTCGTGTAAACCTGATCGATTTTCTCTTGCTATCCACCGCAGACTGCTGGATCTCAAGCAAGGTCAGAACAAAGAAGGACAGACCATTCTGTATTTGGTATTTGAGTACATGGACACTGATCTAAAGAAGTACATCAGAAGCTTCCGCCAGGTTCATGAGATGATCCCGCCCAAAACTGTCAAGGTAAGGGCACTAAGTCTAGAGGCCGCATTCCTAAGCTAATTGGCACGTCGTTATACTGCATGCTGCAACATATCGAATGGCTTTCGAGGCTATGGTTCATGAAGTCTGTCTATATGGTGTAAGATTGTTGAACTGCTACACTTCTATTTGATAATACTTGTTCTTGTCTATTACCCTACAGATTCTTGTGAAGTTAGAATGAAATCCTAAAACACTTTTTTTGCTTGTTAAAGATTGAAGCAGAGTAGTACTTATAGATGTTAAATCATCACACTAAATCGTACTAATCACCAACAAAATTTTGATGTATAATTTCTAGCGCAAACGATTTCCTTAATTTCTAGCGCAATCATCACACATCCTTGTATAGCCTCTATTATTCGTCCGATAAATCTGTCGAGATTCTTAGAAGGTCCTTATGGTTTCTACAGATTTTGATGTATCAACTCTGCAAAGGACTTGCTTTCTGTCATGGCCGCGGTGTGCTGCACAGGTAAAAACACATTTGATGCTACGGTACCGAATGTTAGTTTGTTATAGACAAAAGGAAAATAGTCTGAATTTTTCATCTAACAAGCTCCTCGCCGATGCAGAGATCTGAAGCCTCACAATCTTTTAATGGATCGGAAGAGTATGATGCTAAAAATTGCAGATCTTGGACTGAGTCGAGCTTTCACTATTCCCCTCAAGAAGTATACGCATGAGGTACGTGAGCAATGAATTGTTTCCGCCATTAAGAGGCTTTTATTTATCTTCTTTTCATGACAATGAATTGTTTCAGATCCTGACTCTCTGGTATCGAGCTCCGGAAGTGCTCCTTGGGGCCACACATTATTCAACACCAGTCGATATGTGGTCAGTTGGCTGTATATTTGGTAAGCGGATCTCTATCTCCTATCAAAAGCGCTAAGAATTTGTGTAAGATAGTTGTATCTATAAACCTCTTTACTGTTCTAATTGGCTCTTCCTGCCGTCTTTGGACTTTTAGCTGAACTAGTTACCACCCAAGCACTCTTTCCTGGCGACTCTGAACTGCAGCAGCTGCTCCACATCTTCAGGTAAAATGACTCTTCGCCCAAAGATTTGGTCTTCTTCTTTTGTCCTTGTAGTTTTGCTAGTTGCGCTAATTATGCTGCTGATGCAGGTTGCTTGGTACTCCGAATGAAGAAGTTTGGCCCGGAGTAAGCAGATTAACGAACTGGCACGAGTATCCACAGTGGAGCCCCAAGAGCCTGTCATCAGCCGTGCCGACTCTGGAAGCCAATGGGTTAGACTTGCTTTCGGTGAGTGGCTGCGCTTTCTGAATTCCGGTATTCCGCACAAGATAAAATAAATTAACGCCTTCAGTAAGATAAAGTGGTAAAGTTACAGATCTGGTAAATACTAGATGGCATTCTTGCATGTCATATATTATCTTCGATATTCAATTTTCTTTACCTATGATGATGAGCTTGCCTTGTTTTTCTGTGAACTCAAACACTTGCAGAAGATGCTGCAGTACGAGCCTTCCAAGCGGATTTCAGCAAAGAAAGCTATGGAGCACCCGTACTTCGACGATGTAAATAAGGCTAGTTACTGAGTTGCTAACCGGTCTTGGTCCTAAATCTAGCAGTGGTAAATACAGTGTAGCTTTTCTCGAGCATTCTATATGGTGGAAGTGCTTAAGAGTCCATTAAGCATTGTGATGTTCTTTTCCTGTGCTTTCTTTCGCTAGTTTGGTCGTGTATGGAAACTTTCTAATAGAATTTTTAAGGGATTCAGATCTCAAAATGATGCAAGATTAAAGACAATTCAGCTTTATGGTGAATTTTTTTTTTAACCGAGAAAACCAATTAGATAAGAGTAAATTCTGAAATTACTGTTGACCATCAAACATGGCCAATATTATTTTGATTGGAGATACTAAATATTGTGTGTAATTTGACTTTTCAGATACGATCGAAGAGTGGTTGTGTGTGTAGGTTTGGAAAAGATTTCACGTATGAAGGAACTCCAATGTGCAATGCACAAACAGTAAACAAAAAATTATATCGTCATGCAGAAATGTAACATAAATTACATAAAACAACACTAACGTCAATTATAGATGGAAAGCATAAAAGCCAACTACAACCAGTTTCTCCATTAGCAGTAGCAGCAACAACAAAACATGATGAAGTAAAACTAGACCTTTCTTCTGTCTCTCTTTGTACATTGAATTCCATTTCAGATCAAAGAAACTTTAGCAACAAGATGCAGGGCACATTTGGAAGCATACTTCTTGCTTGCTTGTTTGCTGATAAATCTTAGGATCAGTCGGTGGACACAAGCCACATGAAATAAGTTGACCACAAGGTGAGTGAAACTGAAGCCAGGGAATATGTCCAGAGAAAAATAACCGAGCATTCACTTTCACCAGCCCCAAACAATTGAGTTATAGTGCCTGCAGGTGTACAAATCGATTAAGATTAGCAGACGTTCCTTGATGAAGAAAATATTTATGTCATTGGTCATCATCATATATATAACAAGAATGACTTCTCGATCCGGGCAGATGGCTCTCACCTATGTTCATTGCTGGTGGAAGTGCATATTGCAGGAGAAGAATGAAGTGATACAAAGGATCTTGATGCAGCAGACCCAAGTTAATTGCCCCTTTGACTACTAATATGCCTACTAGCGGCAACATGATATAACGAACTATTACGACTCCAAGAATGAGCGAAAATCGAATGCCTGAGCCTCGTAAACCTGAAACAGAAGACGTCTATACCAATTCATTATTCTTTTGTGTGTATCGGAATCGTCATTAATCGTTACACATATCATCTTCCAGCAGCTCCACTACCTTTAATGAGATTTCCTCCCATTATTAAGGTCAAAGTTGGAATCGCGCCTTCGCTGCAACCAAAAACAAAATATTAAAAATAGAATTCAATTGGCTGCAGCAACCATACATCTAAAAAAATAAAGCAAAGGGACAGCAGCTTGCTAAATGTTTGAAGATTTATAGCAAAATAGAACTTTAAAACTAATTTTAGTTTGAACCAGAGGATCTCCAAATCTTTATGTGGATTGACTAGTGACTTTGGCTCTCAAAATAAACAATTTGGAATTAAAGTGCTGGCATAATATTGGACCATGAACAACCTACATCATTTTTAGTTGTCATACATTGTGCTCTCATACTCAGCTAAGTCCACAGACAAATGGCAATGTTGTGTCAATGTAAAGAAAAATTCATCGGTTGTTGAGCAGTTTTTCTTTAATGTGTTGCCAAATAGCTGTCGAGATGACTTTGTGTTGCCATTGACATAGGCACACATGATCCCCCAAAAGTTGGGAACAAATTTTAGCAAAGCACTTTTGGATGGGAAAGGCTCTGTGGAGAAGAATATTAGGAGACCAGTTGCTTCATTACACGGTTTACTTGTGCAACAGTAAGGACAACATTCCACTTTCTAAAGAAGATTAAGCTTTAAGGTTTATCTCAACAATGTCATAGAAGAGGCTGATGTCTGAATTGAGTAAAACTTTTAAATAACAGATAAAAAAAACATTTATGAGACAATTTCTCAAAGATATTGAACAGATCTATATTCATGTGCTTCTACACTAGGAAAAGGATGAAGCATAATAAACATAAACAGGCGCTTTCTGTAGGATGCAGTGGTAGAATGAGATTTTCGAACCGAAACTAGTACTGATATTATGCTGAACAATGCGGTGCAACAAATTCAAAATTGAAGTCCGCATATCGTACCCCAACAAATCAGCCGAGTCTTGAATCACTCGAAGAGGAGCAGTCTCACCAATGACTGCTTTCCTAATCTGAGGAACTACTCCAATTATAAATCCAATGATCTACAGAAGAGAACAGAGAGTTTATAAGTATGTTCCACTGGTAGATCATGCAGTAGCAAGCGTGACTTCAGATTTGACTTGGTTCCTTTACCATGCAACATCATGATCATTTGAATCCTATACTCCAACTTTTCAGTCAAAGAAAAAAAATACAGGTAGACTATAATAAAAATTTTGCAAATCCATATACACCAAGAATGAATTCTACATGATTAACGCGTTCAGTTACTTATTTCTAATCCTAACCAATCCAATCAACTTGACTTTATCACAGAAATATAACCTTCATGTTTATATCTTTAGCTACACTTTTCTTTTGTTTACATCAAATCATGTTTTGAATGATTGAAGTCAAAGATGTTCACTACTTGTCTAATAGTAGATTATCAAAGCTACACAATGTCCAGATGCATTAAAATTTCAACTAAATCTACTGGATACCAACGTCTTTCAAATATTATTAATGTCTTTAACCTTGTCAAAAGGTAGAAGAAACAAGAAACACTTGTACGTCAGACCTAATGATCACCTGATCTGCAAATAGCACAAATCTTTCATGCATGCCAAAGATTCCATAATGAGAAGGTGCAGGTATCTGTTTAGATCCCCAGCTTGTTACTAACTAGATTGATAATTTTTTAGCATTCTAACATGGTGTTCCTCCAAAATACAATGACAGATGCCGAATCATCCTTCAGCCACTTTCGCTATGCAATATTGCAATATTGACTTAAGAAATTTCAACTTTCTTTTCAAAATTTATTCATCAAATTTTGATGTTCAGTATATTTTCCCTGTTATGATAGGATGAACCAAAAACTGTTTACTGCGAAATTTCCTGCTTGTGTTGATATTAGATATTGTGCCATCATCATAAGTGAATTTTTTGAGGAAGAACAACCCAGCCATGCCAGTTCTTAAGACAAATCTGATTGGCATGTTCGAGATACCTAGAATGCATAATCGTCACAATTTTTATCATTTCTGGTTTTATCCTCATTTGTATCCCTAACATGAGTTCAGACAAACTTATAGTTAACATATAACAACAGAGCTTTGAGATGTTGGCATCTAATATAGCATAAAATTTTGGATAGCAAACATGCTAGCACAGGAAGAACAAATATATATATGCAAAGTTTATCTGATAGGATCATAACAATGAAAGTGAAATGAAATCTACCAAGTTTTCATGATATTATGGCAATAGACTGAAAAATAACCAAAAGAGCTGGACTTTCAAGCTTGGGCTACTTTCCAGATGAAACACCTAATAAAAACTAATGAAGTTACTATTGACATGTAATTTGGATGACAATGCAAAATATGTTCAACATGTCTTGTATCTTAGAAGTCTGCTCGCATTGTGGTCCACAGCAAATCTGAACACCCCCATTAACAACTGTGCTTCCCTGTTGGTATTTATAGATCAAGATGGCATTTTGTGGCACTCTTGGTAAATATTTCAGGGACAACATTGGTAGCAGAAATATAAGGACAAGTAGCATACCACACCAACAGTTGATGGCGCAAAAAGCTTTTTTAAGTCAATAATTTTCAAAATATTTGACAGCAGCTGCCTTGCTTTATCCGAGAATGACACCTGAAACAGATTTTATAAAGCATTAGCCAAAACACAATTCTTTGAAAGACTTTCTGTATGACCAAACAACAAAGGTCTTTGTCATTGTTAACAAATATATTAGGACAAAACCAACAAAACCAGCAAATCTTGTGAACCCATACCAGAATATAAAATGAATGAATATTATGTAATCCCATACATATCTCTGTATGATATAACAGATGGCTAGATATTTCATACACCCATACCACTCAAACATTATAGCAGGTGGCTACTAGATACCATGTAAAGCAATGACTAGATAAAGTGCTGTTCTGAACATTTGCATAGGAAGCAAACTGTGGAGGAAAAGATCGATTAAAGATGTCAGTAATTATCTAACATTTGAGTTTGATCTTCTGTATGGTTTTGCAATATTGGTTGGACCGGTACAAACCAATCAGTATTTATCACTCTGATCAAGCACTTTTTGTGAATTATACAACTTGATATCATGTTAATTGTCTTTTTCTTCAGTGATATGGAGTGGTACAGGTTGATATACCTCTTAGGATCTTTACCGTTTCAATGCAACAAATTATCAAAATCAGTATCAAGCTGGTGTTTAAATATTTTTCTGCACTTTCTCATTTGCTGTTCTTTCCACCATTTTACTGACTGGATATCCCATTTTAAAGTGGTAATGGATCTTTTATGGTGATAACAGAACTTTTCCTTAACAATATATAGCCAATCTTGTTTTGAAAATTGCATCGCCAACTTTAACAATAAACTCGAGTTGAGGAGGACTAATGAAAAACTAGAGTTAGATGAGCAATACAGACTCTGGCAAAATGAGTATAGCAGCTCTAGCTTGGGATTTTTAGCAATCAAATCTAGACATGAAAAATCAACAGTTAAGTTATATAATGAATCAAGAATTTACTTTTTTCTTTTTTACTCTTGTACAAAAATTGGATAAGATATCTTGCAAAAAATTGATCTTTGCTCCAAATAATGAAAAAGTTACTATTTTAATCTCATAATAAGCGCCCTTAAGGCATAACCAAGTGACACTTCCAGAACTGATGTTATGGAGATTCTGCAAATTCTTAGTTCAAAAAGTTACCAGTTCATTCTCTGGATCTATGGCTGATAAATTATGGAGAAGGCTTTAAATCCTGAAAAGCGATTTAGATAAGTAGAAACCGGAGAGCATGTCACCGACCCAATTATATTCTAAGAGCATACTACAATTATATTTGTTAATAATCAATCAAATCATTCAA